TAGAACTGCTGCATCGCAATACTGTACACCTGAAACTACTATAACACTGTATGTTAACCATACTGGAATTAAAAAAAAAAAAAAACCTGGAAAAAAAAGAGAGAAGATTCTCCAGACCCTATAAGTAAAGGAAAGACCAAGATAAGACTGTGGAGGGGTTAGAAGTTGGGGACGGCTCCTTCTAGGAGGTAAGGGCAAGGGTGGTGGTCCCTCTGATTATTAGGTTGGGACAGCTGGTCCCAAAAGCCAATTACACAGAAGTGACAGGAGTACATTCACACAAAATACAATATAAAATACAAGTTCATGCCCCACATGGTCTTCATATACTTACAAAGCCTCGTGTATACTGGTTCAGGCTATCAATTGCTGCAATCTCCGATAATTTCTCCTTTACATACATAGGAGGGGATATATCTGGAAGGCCTTGACCAAGATTCACAACAGAGGGGTCTGCAGCCAACTTTGTAAATTCAATCCTAAAATTAAAAAAAATACTAATAAGTACCATAATTACAAAGTTAGCGTTTTATACCTCATGATCTTAACATAAAACTGAAAAACTAAGACCTAGTTTAGTCTTACAAATAAAAAAAAAAAATGAGTTCCCAAAAAAACTTTACCACTTACGAAATGACTTTGTCTAATTAAATGATGGCTGAACTAATGAACTTAGAAGTTTCTTACAAATCTCAATTTCTTGATACCCAACTAAGAATACCAAAATGTGTAGGAAAAAAGCGTCACCAAACTATTGTTGTTTATTCCAAGGTACTCACCACACATTACTATCAAGGCCTTCAATTCGTTTTGCATTGATGATTTTCAAAGACATCTTCTGAAACATACAAATATTGAAAGATTTTTTTAAATTTCTTTAATCAACAAAAAAGCCAGAAAATCATGGATAGCTCTACCTTTTCCCTACTGTTGCCATGGAAAAAAGCAGTACCATAATGACAAATGCCAGACCCCAAAATACAAAATTCTGAAGTGCAATCATCTCCTACCTACTGCCCTAAGGAATGCTTTCTCTTATGATCCTTAGATGCTTATCTTCTCACAAAGAAACAAAAATATCACCCTCGCCTAAAAAAATAAACCAATTTGAAGGCCTGAAATGTACTGAACAGAACAATAATGATACTAAAAAAAGTCAGTTTAAAAAAATACCTTGAGTCATTCTCTGAAGATCATTTTAGGTAAGATGGACCAACAGTTGCACAAGTACATGCCTTGGATGGCATACAGGAAGGAAGCACTCAACAAATGGTTTTAAAACTATGCAATAGAGAGCCCCAAATCATAACAGCTCACATTATTGAGTCCTGAGTACATAGCAGGCACTGTTCTAAGTGTTGTACATAATTAAGTCATTTCATAGTCACAACAACCCTACATAGTGGTTCTCTTATTACCCCTAATTTATGTAGGAGCAAAGTGAGATACAGAGGATAAGGTTACAGAACTTTACACATCTGCCCAAGTTTACAGAAGCTAGTAACATTTAAACCCAAACAGATTCAACTCAGGATTTGAACCCAGGCAGTTTGACTCCAGAATACATACTCAGATTTCTTTCCTTTTTTTCATTTTTTAGATTTTATTTATTTTTAGAGCGAGAGCATGAGCAGGGGAAGGAGCAGAGGGAGGGAGAGAGAGAGAGAAAATGTCAAGGAGACTCCAAGTTGAGTGCAGACCCTAATGCAGGGCTTGATCCCACAACCCTGAGATCAGGACCCGAGCTGAAATCAAGTGTTGGACACAACCGACTGAGCCACCCAGGCGCCCCCTGATCTATTTCTATATACTGTCTTTTATGTAACATGACTTTATAAAAAATATTACCAGAATGCTGCCTCCTAAAAAAAAGTGTACTAGACATTTAGATCAGGTCTCCTTATATCAAGCAAGCTAGGGCTATGGTAGAAAAATATTAAAAGTTAAAATTATGGTACAGCATACAATTTCTTAGTTCTCTAGATTTTAAAATTAAGTTTATACTATCTCCCCAAAGCACTAAATTAGTGTTGAGTTCACTGTTAACAAGCTGCTAGGGAAAAAAAATGATTGGCAGCATTTTTATAAAGATTTTCCTAATAGAATATTAAAGCAATTTTAATTCAATCTGGGAGGAAGATAATGATAATGGTTATTAAATAGACGATTCTTCTCATTCTATTCCAACAATGGAGCCAAGAAAAATATTTTTTTACTCTCATATTTTTTAATCTTTGAAACTCCAGTGAAGTAAATCACATGCAAATTCTCCAGAGGTTAAGGTGCCTTCCAGAATAGCATTATGATTAAGTACCCACCTGAACATGATGCTATTCTAGAAACTACAATTATAAAACTATAAAGTCCCAGAATGATAGACAGAAAAGATATTTTAACAATTGTCTTTTGCCATTAAAATGTTTAAAACTTAATGATTCATTTAGCAAGTGGCTGCAAACACAAAGTACAAATTCATATATAAACAAGTGAGAAAAATCTGCAGCAGATCATTTAGACACAAAGTCCAATTTTACTTAAAATATTTAGATCATTGAAGGCTTTTTTATTTAATTTTATTTCCAGATTTAATTTTAAAATCTGTGTCCAGAACAGCCTCTCTCTCACAACCTCCCTGCCTCTGCTCCTTCCCACCTCTATGCCTCAACCATTTTAATATTTGAAATATTCCATTTTACTTCTGTAGCTTCACATATGATCATTCCTCTACCTTAGTGGTCTTTCTACACCAATGTTTCCCAACCTTTTTTTCATCACTGCCCCCATAAGGAGACCTTTTAGATATTTCTTCTAATCATCTCCCCTACTGCCCCATAAATTAAGGAGTTTTGTCAGATAGGGCTGAGGTTTACAAGGTCACAAAACATTGTAATAGCTATGGTTGGTTTCACCTGCCAAGCACCAATTTTCTCCCCTTGAGAGCAATAATGCCCTTGTTGAGAATGCATATTCTATACTTAATTCGATCCCTGCTCCCCACCACCCTGTCTCTGCACTTGGCTAACTCCTAATCCACTTGCCACTTTCAGTTCTCAAGTTAGACTTCATTTCCTCCAGAGAGTGTTTTCTGATTCCCTAGGTCAAGGTTATATGTTCTTCCTACGTATTCCTATTACATGGAGTACTTTCCAGCATTTACTATATAACACTGTAATTTTCCTGTTTATTTATCTATATCCTTCCTTACACTGTAAACCCTGAGGATTAGTTCTAGCTTGTTCACTGGTATGTGTCTGTATTACTCAGGTTTCTCCAGAGAAACAGAACCAATACAGGATGTGCATATATATATAGTGATTCAAGGAATTGGCTCGTGGGACTTGCACAGGCTAGCAAGTTTGAAATCTGCAGAGCAGTCTGGCAGTCTGAAGGCAGAATTCCCTCTTCCTGGGGGGAAGCTTAGATTTTTCTCTTAAGGCCTTCAACTGAGTGGATCAGGTCCACTCATATTCTATAGAGGGCAATTTACTTAAAATCTACTGATTTCGATGTTAATCTCATTTGGAAAACGCCTTCAGAGACATCTACACTGATATTTGAACAAATATGTGCCTTCCTTGGCCAAGCCAAGCTGACATAAAATTAACTATCACAGTGTCCAACATGTAGAACTATGCTCAGCACATAGTAATTTTTCAACAAATATCTGATGGATGAATGCAAAAATCTACACAGTAGAAGTAAACCTATGGTATCAGCTTAAGTTAGGTACTTATCATATCAGTCAGCTTAAATTAATTTATGCTTCAGTAACAAACGACCCCAAAGTCTTGGTGGCTTAAAATCATAAAGGTTTCTTTTTCATACTACAAACCCACTGAAGGTCAGCTGCTGCTTTGTTCCATGTCACTGTCACTCTGAGACATGAGCTGATAAAATAGCTTCTTTTTGGAATACTGTTAGTTTCATAGCAGAGAGGAAAAAATTTTAATTTCTGCTTAGATGTGCACATACCACTTCTACTCAAATTGTATTGTACAAAGCAATTCATTGCTATGGCTGATACCAACATGGCAGAAATGAAGTCTGGAGGTACAATGACTGTTGTCGGTTGAACTGTGTAACCGCCCCCCCATTCATATTTAGGCCCTACCACCCAGTACCTCAGAATGTGACCTTATTTGGAAATAGGTTCATTGCAGATGTAATTTGCTAAATTAAGGTCATGGGTTGTGGGGAGGATAATCTGATGACAGTGTCCTTATAAAAAGGGTGAATTTGGAGACAGTCTGGTATATAGGGAGAATGTCACATGAAAATGAAAGTGATATGTTTGAAAGTCAGGGAATGCTAGCAATTGACAGCAAACCACCAGAAACTAGGGGAAAAGCATGAACAGACTCTTTCTCACATCATACAGAAGAAACCAACCCTGGTACACTTTGCTCTTGGGCTTTTAGCCTACAAAACTGTGAGCTAACACAGTTTTGTTGCTTTAGCCACTCAGTTTGTCGTACTCTGTTAACGCAGCCAGAGGAAATTAATACAGTGATGAATATTTACAAGATATCCGACAGTGTCTAAAAACATCAAGATTCAGCAGTAGATGCAAATGCTCACTATATAAGAATTACTGTCCAGAGTAGATCCAGTCTTATGAAATGAAAATGAACCTGGAATCTCATGGGGAATTAAGTATGAGCCTCAGGTGTGTGATGGGAAATCTACAGGGCCTATATAATTTCTGGACCAGCTACTCCATGAGCTGGTTTCTGCTCCCAAGTAAATTAATACCTGGTATACATAATATTGCATTGCTATGTTATAAACACAAAGATGCTAGTGAAATAATAAGCAGCATCTTTTTTTGTCCACTTGAGGCTGTAAAGTGCAGTTCTGCAGAATCACCACTAGGTGCCACTCTTGGCAGAGATGAGAAAAAGCTTACTGCTAATTCTCTCTAAAATGGTTACTGCAATGGTGTTGGCATAAGGAAAACTTGGAAAGAAGAAAAAATATTACCCATTATCCTAAGACTCTAGCATACTAAAGTTTCGGGGACTCTGCCTGTAAGACTGCTGCTTTTAGGTATATATTTTGGGGACTCTGCCTGTAAGACTGCTGCTTTTAGGTCAGATAGGATAGGTGTAGAAAAAGTCCTCCCAAATGATGGGTTAAAGCTGGGGAAGCTGAGGCTGTTAGTATCTATGAAGCTGAGTCAATGAGTCTATGCACTGAGTCAAGCGTAAAAAGATAAAGAGTGCAAGAAAAGGTCAGAAACAGAAATAACAAAGCTAATGGTTAGAGAGAGGTGAAGACAATAATCAGACATGAGAAATAGAGAGACCCCAGTACTTCAAGACTAGGCTGGAGCAGAAAGCAACAATATGATGGGGACCCCTCTAATGTGGTGTCTGGCTGCTGGGGCAGCCAAAACATCCATTATCTTTCAGATCTATGTTGCAATCACATGTAATTTTTTAAATATTTGCCTTTTCTTTTAAGAGAGTATCTTAAACATTTTATAAATTTTCTCAGTCATAAAATTTTCACTTTTGATTAGCAGATATTATTTCAGGTTCTTTACTCATTCATTTCCTATCGTTTGGGCATTTGTTATTCCCAATGTTTTGCAATTATAGGTAGTGTGTTTCTACTGTGCATTTAATTACAGGGTTCCTATTCTGTTTCCTTCAGTTTTAAAGTTTGATGTGGAGGGGAATGCCCTACTATAACAGAGATGAAATATCATCAATATATAGTCATCTAGTTCCAGCTAAACTAACTAAACACACAACTTTTTATTTACTTTTATGGAAAATGTAAGGTATAAAATTTGATGTTCCAGCAACCACAGTGAGGACACTTAGTATTATTTCC